CTTTAAGAGTTGGAGTGAGTTTTTGCCAATGGTAGAGTTTGCCATTAACAACTCGGTGCATGCGTCCACGACACATACACCATTTTACGTGAATGGCTTGCGCCATCCGCGTGTACCCACCTTACTAAAGTGTAACTCTGGTTTAAGGGGGGAGGGACTCGCGCGAGCAAAAAACGATTTGGTTCACGCTCATCACGCTCTGACAAAGAGGTCATCGCGTTTGATGCCGATATCGATAACATCGATATCGAAGAAGATGATGCCAGTGAGAGTGCGGAAGCCCTCACTGAAGAAAAGGTTGATGTTGCTGCAGTGCGCTCACAGCGCACTGAAGCTAACGAGTCAGCATATGAGTTCATGCTGGCTCGTGAAACGGTAGTCCGTTTTGTGCAAGACTCCATCGCCGAAGCGGTGGATAAGCAAAAGCAAAACGCTGACAATAATGGAAGGGCAAACACTCTTTTATTTAATAAAGGTGACTTAGTCCTACTGTCTACGGTTAACCTACCAAAGCATGTAGTGACTAACGTGGGTAGCAGTAAACTACTACCCAGGTACATTGGCCCATTTCGTGTATTGCACCGCCTAGGCAATGCATACACGATCGAGTTACCACGTAAGATGCGAACGCATCCCACATTTTACGTTGGTCTGATTAAGCCGTACCATCAGTACGCTGCTTCTCCGATGAAGAACGCCCTTGCGCTCAAGCATCTTGCAGAGAGCCTTGTGCTCCCGATGGTGGGCATAGACAAGGGTCTGAAGAGCAGCTATCTCATCCCGAGACCGATCAACAATCCCACGAGCTACCCTTAGCTCGTCACGAAGAGATGTCAGAGATCTCTCGTTCTCAAGCTGAGCAAAGGCAAACTCAGATCGATGCTTCAAGACAGTGTCCGCCATTTGGAGACGCCTGTCCCGCTTATGTTCGATATCGCCGCGTAACCCTTGCGTTACGCGATCAAAGAAGCTCTCGGGAACACACCTATCCACATGATCGTGTGGAGAGCGTCTTTCCTCCTCCTCCACCTCCATTAGAGGACTCTCGTGGTGGCCAGCGCTATCTGATTGAGCAGCTGTTGAACCACCGCGACGTAAACGGACGTCGGACGAGTTATCTCGTCCGGTGGCACGATTATCCCCCGTCCTGGGATACTTGGGAGCCCCGCTCCCAACTGATGATTGACGTACTGGGTCTGGTTGAGCAGTACGACGCGGCACATCCTGTGCCGCAGAACGACCGCCGGAGAATATCTTCCCGGCACGGTCGTAAAGGGATTTCAGGTTGTCAATCCCTTCGTACATTTCAGTCAAGATACGTACGCGCCACCACGGGCTAGTAAGGAGGTAAGCCTCCTTAGGTGCTCGTGCAGAGTTATTCACACAACATGGGCATGAGTCTCCCCAAGAGAGGCAGGGTAACCCCTTCTCCCTAGACAGACAATGCAGCTTGTAGCGTGCACCTTTCGGGGTCCGCTTTTCAAACTTACCACGAGCTTTGATAAGTTTGTCGTTCCAAGCGTCACGACCTACATCCTCAAGGTTATGGATGTGGGCGTTCCACGCTTGAAGCAGTGAGGGACCATCACGCATGTGATTCCCACTGTACCATCGATATCTAAAGAAAGCATCGATGAAGAACTCATTCTTAGCGCGATAGTTTTTTGCGCTGGGGTCAAGGTGATGGATCCTTGACGAATCGAACAACCGTGTTCGATAACGATCACTCATCGTAGCCGACAAGTGATCCATGACAGATTTTGAAGGCATCCATGCCTTCTTCTAAGGAGCGAGACGCAATACATTGCGGTCCCGCTCTTCCTGCTATGTGCCTACAGAAGTACTGGCACCTCGTTGCGAAGTGGTGTCCATAGGAGAACCGACACCACTGTTAGCGCCCGAGTCTCGCGACCTCGAGCGCCTTCGCTTCGGCGATGGTTCATCTGATTCATCGGATGAACCAAAGATGCTGCGACGCGTAGCATCATCCATTCCACGCTTGGCAGGCGGCTTGGATTCGATCGCCGTCGATACGGATCCCTCTTCCGTATCAGGAGAGTATGAGACACCGAGCTCATACTCTGTGAAGACATGAGTGTCTTCATGACCAGCGCCTGTATCACCAAGTGACACAGGCTGAGTCGCTTCAGCAACCGATGACACATCGGTTGCAGCGGTTTCTGCTTCAGCGTCTGCACAGAGACGTGTAGACGCGCTCTTAGCGGCCTTGCTCGCGCATCTCATGGGCTTGTTAACCATGCGATGAATTGTTGGAAAGTGGACGCGGACCACCAATGTGCAAACCCTGTCCCAAATGATTTGGGACGAGTACCAATTTAATCAATAAGTCACTAAAGTGACTGATGGTTAGGGGGGGTGATGTAACGGGGTGAGTCGTTACATAACAATTTATAAGAAACTGTTGATAGAATATAACTACAAGAGTTATATTCTCAGAATTTTGTCATAAGGACAAATATTCTGCAGCACTTACGCGTAGTTCCTAATTGGTTGATATAGGCCATTATATCAACCTACGAAGACGCACCACGACAGACGCACGCAATGAGTGGTGAGCAGATAGTTGATATGCACGTTTGTATTCAGACATAGTTAGATGATGTAACGGGGTGAATCGTTACATAACAATTTATAAGAAACTGTTGATAGAATATAACTATAAGAGTTATATTCTCAGAATTTTGTCATAAGGACAAATATTCTGCAGCACTTACGAGTAGTTCCTAATTGGTTGATATAGGCCGTTATATCAACCAACGAAGACGCGCCACGACAGACGCACGCAATGAGTGGTGAGCAGATAGTGGATGTACACATCTGTATTCAGACATAGTTAGATAAAGATAAATAATGATTTATTAACAGACATTAACTATACTAAATACAGTCCTACTTTTTACTTTAACCAAGTACTCGCTTCTTCTTACCATCTTCCTCTGCACGTACCAGTGTACGTGAAGTTACGAGGCACCGCCTTATTCTGTCATCAGAATAAGTAGCTTGTACTGGTGACAGTACAAGCCTCAGGGTGCCCCGTTACACCTCTGAACGTACTAGTGTACGTGAAGTTTCGCGGCGCCCAGACGAAGGGTGCCCCGTTTCAACCACTACATTCCGCACCCAATCTTACCATGCAAATTGGCTGCTTGTAGGTAACTGCAACGATTAAAACCGTGTAGTTTTTTCGGTGAAACCAATTGAAGGTAAAGTTTGTAAGGGCACGCCACTGCCAATATTTTTAGGCAAGAGCTACCGCCCCACCATAAGCGCTCGCGATCACGCGGACGAACCATGCTTGGTTTAGCCCGCACACCCTTCTCATCATCATGAGCTTTAAAAAGACATGTGAGTAAAAGTGTCAGTAATCAAGTTGTTGGGATCGAAGAAGTTAGGCGTGCTCTGAGGTTCTTTGGAGTTACTTTGAAATACCGTCTGAGCAATTTTGAAACGACCAAGCCGAATCCAAAATGAGCCCAGCCAATTAGCATTTGCCGTTAAAAGTGGTCATGAATGTGTCCCCTCCCTTAGCCACTTTTACATGAAGGCACTAAAGCCAATAAATTCATAGAACGAACGACACGATTTAAGCAGACAGGTGTCGATACGCTCATCTGGAGAATAAACAACGCGAAGCTGTTGCACTAACAGCGAGATTTTTCAATGGTCGAGTGGCGGCACTGATATGCGATGAGTACGGAGCAATGACGCTAAGATGGATCCAAGGAGTTGTCAGACGCGACTATAATAATTTGAGGAGAGCACAAAGGAAAAGGTCAGTAGCATCTTCAAATTCACCAAAACTTAAGTTCAGTCAGTGTTCTCGCTGCTGCAGCAAATTACTTGACAGAATAATCGCCTAGCACTAATTTTAGAGTCAATTTCTCAGGATATCAACGCCAGCTCAAGAGGATCGTTGTTAATGGAAACATGAACCGTGACGTTGCCGATGATGGTGAAATTGTCAGGCAACGTGGGTCTCTAGTTGTAAACGTGATGGAAAGTGAATAAAGTTGGTCTGCTCGTGCAAAACAAGCCACACATGAGCCACCTGCCTCCTCTTGTTTCCTTGTCGGCTTCTTGTGGTAGCGACGAGGACTCTTCGTGCAGCGCGGTAAACCAACGTGATCCTGGCTGTTGATTCAGATGAAGTACTGTGCTGGCCAAAACTTGGCCTACCATCTGGCTGATCCAAGCCGCCCGATATAATTGTTGAAGATGTTGAAGATCTTTCTGTAGATTGCAAGTGTACTTGCCCACGTCCGTTTGTGTGGACTGAATTATCGCGATATGCAGTCAGATCAAAAATGTGTTGCTGACGTGCAGAGTACTATGACTATGCTGAGAAACATCAACCTATTGCACTACGCTGCGATCGGAAGCACCTCAAATGCCTCGGCAAGTCTCAAGGGTTCAATTAAGGGCATCTGTTCAATGGTACGCGGTAAACTTTTATGTCTACATCGATGTGGTCGAACATGTTGGACAGCAAGGATGTGACTGCGGTGTTGACCGTTATCTTGAGCAAGCTCGGAAAAAGCTGCAGAAATTATGTGCATCGCCAAGATGGACATGTACTCGTTGAGTATGGTCCTCTAAGGCAGTCACGAGCGAATCGACACGACAACAGAGTGATACATCGCTTTTTGTGATGCCTGTGACAGCAGTTTTTTCACTGATCCCCGTGGCACAAAGATGTGTTTTGAACTCCTAAATGTGCTCATCAAGTAGTTGATTTACGAACCCATAATACGGCCACGCGACTGGTGCGCACTCTAATGCGCCGTGTATTGATCACGTCATGTATCGGTGAAACGGTTGTAGTGACCACGTCTGTCTTGGTAGACCAAGACAAGCACCGGTACCCGAGGCTATTCCAATCTGACAGGCACAAACGACAATAGCACCTGCTCAGTTCAGTTTTGACTTGCTACTGCAGACCCTTTGACAAAGGTAAGACAAGGGCGCACTGTTTTTTCTGACTATCGCCAAATGGAAGGTCCGTCGATCCTTTGGCGCTTTGGACATCGTTCTTGATGTGCTTGTGCAGACTTGAACCTCTTGTGCAAATACTCGTCCGCGTCCACGCTGGTGTTAAACTCCATGTTAACTGCTGATACGTATTTTCGAAAAGTGTCCATCTCTACCTCTTTCTGGCCAGGGCTCGGGATGTCGGATATCTTTAACAAGTTCAAAACTTTGGGGATGGACGTCCGTTTGCGCAACCAGATAGTCACCAGCTTCTCCTTCATAGCTTCCATTAGAATGTTCCCCCCTGCTCTGTGCTGCAATTCAGCTTGATGAGTTACGCCCACTGTCGCCAGCATATGCAGAGCCATAGATTCACTCATTCGTGCCTCGGCGTATCAGCGTGTGTGGTCGTTACGTGATAAACTTAAATGACACTTTAAGGTTAAAATATCTCAATATTAATTTTGAGATACATTAACCTTAAAGTGTCATTTTTGTCGATAATATGTAGATGTTGCTCGCTCATTGATTATTGTAGGCTATGGTATCAACCAATGATGCCGAGCCATGGGAGATGTGCGCTATAATCGGCGAGCAGATAATTACAATACATTCTTAAATGCTAATGTAGCTCAAAGAAAATCAATCGAATGTATCGACATTTATTTATATAGGGATCGCGCACCAGCCCTCATCTTTTCGTCAACCAGCCCCCAACCAACAATAATCAGTATAAATTTAAATTCAATTTGACACTAGGTAGTTTTGCTTAGAATTTATAATGTGGTTCCGAAGCAATCATTTCAAGAATAACCCCGCCCATATATTTTGCTGATTTCAAAGAACTTAATTTAGCATCATTCCGTTATCTACAAATTACAACGTTAAGTCTTGCACCACCATCATAGATTCCTACACGTGTTTGTAGCAAGCAAAGACACTTATTGACGCTCACGCACAACAGGCTACGTTGATGTTATAAGCGCAATAAGATGAGCAATTTTGAAGAGAGAAGTGTACAAATCTGCCATTTTTGTCAATATACGATTTCATGTGGCATGAGGTTGATGATGAAGGTGGATTTTATAGGGGTGCAATCTCCGACCTACGATACCCGTATCGCCGCGAGTCAGTCTCTGCGCCGCTTACTCAAAAATTACGTACCTGTGAGTCCTTGGACAGCTGCTTGCCACCGATGAACCTGTCACGATGCGGCTGCGCTCTCGCGTGCCGTTATTGCTGGCCCTGCGTGCTCCACGCTTTCCACGGCGAGCTACGTTTCTAGCCAGTAGTTGACGTCTTGGTCCATGACCTGTTTTACCGAGCGGACGAGGTAACGTGGTGACGAGAAGTCGGTGTGAGCACCTGAACAGATGTTCGAGTATTTATCGCGATGTTGGCTAATCTGTCCTCCATCTATTTGTACTCGCGGTAGTGATGGGCCCAGCTGGCGACCGCGACGTCGTCTTCTAGGTTCTCGCCTCGCGATAGAGCGCTGCAAGCTGGGCTTGAGTGGTCAGCGGTGCATCCGGAGCTGCGCGAGCACCATCGAATTGGCATCCACTACGTACAATGGCACAATACCGGTTACCTTCGCTTGTCAGAGGCCATGGACAAGTCCTCAGTACTCTGCTAGGTTGTTCATTGTCTTATTCGACCTCTATGCCATGCACGCGACCCACATGATCGTCTCTGCGTGCGTTGGAACGTGGACACGGAGAATCACCGGCCAGGAGTCGCCTAGGCCCGGGCCACCGCGATAGACTCCGTCGAAGAAGAGCAGGTTGAGAACATCTAACTGTCAACCAGATATCTAGGCCTGCAGTGAAGCGGGTTTGAAGTGTCTTAGGAGATCGTTCGCGAGCGCTGATCTCAAAAGAGCCTTCACCTGTCCGTCTTCGCCGCCACCAGATTGGCAACTCAAGCAAATAAAGCGCACAATTGCACGCCGCAAACAAGTCTGTGCGAGACCTCGGTGGGATTCAGCCGACAAAGTCGGGTCCTCTATGCGTAGAAGCCGCTGGGTCCAGATCGCGAGAGAAGTTGTTTCTACCGCAAAGCTCCAGAGATCGTTCGCGGCCACTAAGATTGCTGCTCGTGCCTCTCGGGTCTTCTCACTCTCTGCAAGCGCCGGCTGCGCCGCCTCTCACGCGTTGCTCAGTCGTTCTAGCAGCTCGAGAGCGAAGACCCAAACGTGAATATCAGCATCGTCGAAGCCGCCGAGGCGAACTCATTGCGCAAAGAGATGCTGCTAATTACGTTGCGCTACAAGGCGGGTACAGAGGACATGGCTTGCGGGCGCGTAGACGCTGTGGGGGTACTTGGTACTCGGGCACGACCTGTCCTGCTCAACTTAATTTCAAAGAGGAAAGGTGTTGTAACAATCAGACAACTACTTCTCATTGCTTAAAATGGAAAGTAGTATTAAGAGTTAAGACTACTGCTAAAATGCATATATAAATCCCCTCATAAAGTGATCGCTCATCCAGAATGTTCGAAGAGCCCTGTCCCTGCAAGTTGCCATAAACACGACACACAAATCATGTCGTGGTACGTAAACCTCAACACTCCCCTTCAACTTGCACTCTCATGAATTCCACTTGCATCACTCAAACGTAGCAAATTTGGTGCACTTAGTGGCTTCGTTAGGTAATCAGCAAGCTGCATAATAGACGGAACATGTTCGAGCTGAATTGTGCGCTGCTCAAGGTGGTCTCGGACGAAATGCACCCTCAGGTCAATGTGCTTGGCTCTTGGCGTTTATCCTTGATTTGTCGCAATGCTTATCGCCGACTCATTGTCCATATGCACAGTGGTTGCACTCGTGCACGCGACACCCATTTCCATCAGCAAATAGCGAATCCACACAATCTCTTGAGTTGCTAGTGCCAATGACATATACTCAGCTTCAGCCGAAGACAAATCCACCGAGCTTTGTCTTTTGCTCTTGCATACAACAACCGCGTTTCCGAGCAAAATTAAAACACCAGAGGTCGAGCGACGAGTACTTTTGTCACCTCCCCAGTTCGCATCACAGTAGGCGCACAGCATGAGTTTATTGCTATCCGATCTCTTGTATACAATCCCGTGTGATTGTGTTCCCATCAGGTAATGCAAAACGCGCAACGCTGCACGCCAGTGCATTTGTTTTGATTTCTCCAACTACTGCGATAACACCGACATCGTGTAGCTGATATCAGGTCGCGTAGCATTCGCGATGTACATCAGGGAACCCACCAGTTTTCGATACAAAGTGCTGTTTTAAAATCACACTGCGAGTCAGTAGGGGTCAAATCTTGACCAGCGATAATTGGACTGCGAACTTCGTAAGCACCATCTTGTTCGAAATCCGTGATCATCTTCTTGATAAATTGAGTCTGTTTCAAAACCAGCTCTTCCTTTTCTAGAGAATAGTTCAACTCCATACCCAAAATAAATCGCGCAGCTCCAAGCGACTTCACCGAGAAATGAGCTGTCAATTCTTTGTAAATTCCATCAGCCTCTGCATTCGATTTGCATCCGATGAGAATATCATCCACATACAGCACTATGTACGAAAGTGACTTGACTTTAGTACTGGGACGTCGAACAAAAAGACAAGTGTCCGCACGACATTATTCAAATCCTAAAGTCACAAATACAGAGCATATCTTCTTGTACCAAACTGCTGCGGCTTGTTTTAAGCCATACAATATTCGTCTTAGCTTGAAATCCGATCCAGACGTAAATTTTATCCCTGGTGGTGGCTCCATGTAAACGCCTTCTTCCAAGTCTCCATTTAGAAAGGCTGTTTCCACATCAAATTGTCGTATCACATATTTCATACTGCAGCAAACCGCAAGAAACGTGCGAATTGTGTTTGAGCACGCAGCCGGTAGTACCTATTGAAATAATCAAAAGCATGCGTTTGCAGGTATCCAAGAGCAACCAAACGCGCCTTATAACGCACAATTTCACCATTTTCATCAAACTTGTGCCCAAAAACCCACTTGTTTCCAATAACCTTGACACCAGACGGGCGGCGAACAACATCCCATGTGTGATTGCGTTCATGAGCTTGAATCTCGGTCAGAATTGCTGCTTTTTATTGCTTTGACTCTTATGACTGTATTGCCTCGTTGTAAGTCGTGGGTACAGTAGTTTTGGTTCTTATATATCATTTTTTTCAGTGGCAGAAAGTGAAATTTCGTAATCGTCCATTCATTGACGTTTGGCTTCAGGCTCGACTACGTCAGCATCATCCTCATTATCCGCTACAGGTCCATCTGTCAGGAGTGGTAAATTAACACGACCATGTCCAGAATTATCACTTTCAAGCAAACGAGGGTGCGAATCGTCACTTAATCGTCTTTTACTCGACACAGTGTATACCTCAAGTCTGTCCTCCTGGTTGTACTGCTCATCACGCGGTCCAATTCCATTTGAGCGATCGCAAATGTCTTGTATCATGTGCGTGCGCTGATGACCCTTCTCATCAACGCCTCCACTTAGTGTGCGCAATTCTTTAATTGTTTCACCTGTCCGCTCATCTGTAAGCTCCCCTTCAATCGGAACAATCTCCAAATTTTCCGACCTGTTGTCCTCGCCATAGGCATCCACAACCATGTCTTCCCAGCTAGGGTCAACATCATCTGCTCCATCAACTTCCATGTCTTCCGCATCATGAGAATCCGCTGAGGTGGGTACATTTACCGCATTTTCGTCTCCATCATCGTGCTGTTGTGTGATTTTGACACAATTTTCACTCAGAACAATATTCTTGTATCGTGAAGGAGGCCTTTCGTCCAGTGTGACAGAACGAGTCACTACCAACTGTTCTCGATCCACATCCCACACACGGTACGCCTTTGATGTCTCCGAGTAAACCAGAAAAATGCACTTGTTAGCCTTGTTGTCCCATTTGGTCCGCTTGCAATCCGCTACTCGTGTATAACCAGTAGATCCAAATGCACGAAAGTAACTTAAGTCAGGTTTTGATCCGTTCATCACTATAAATGGACTCTTGTTGGGACGCGCTGTGTTCGGAATTTGGTTTAGTGTGTGCGCAGCTGTCATAACAGCTTCACCCCACCACATTCTATCCACCTCCATATGGCTCAACATCGAACGTGCCATTTCAGCAAGCGTTCTATTCATTCTCTCAGCCAATCCATTTTGCTGTGGAGTATATGGCACGCTTGTTTGGTGTATGATACCATGATTCACACAGTACTTGTTGAACCGGTAACTTGTAAACTCACCACCATTGTCAATTCTGATGCACTTGATCTTGCGATCCGTCTGTGTCTCCACCATCACGCGAAAGTCCTGAAAACGTTCAAACGCTTGTGACTTCGCAGCGAGTAAGTACACAAAGACGAATCGGCTATAGTCGTCGATAAATGTGAGGACATAAAGGGCACCACCCTTTGATTTCGGGTTCATCGGACCCATGAGATCAGTATGAACAATCTCAAGTGGTTGACTTGTTTTGACTGTACTCCCTGAGGTATGAAGAAACGGATTGTTCGTCATTTTTCCACGTGAACACCCATCGCAAACACCGTCTTCAGTTGCCGACAATTCGTAATACCGTCGCACGCCTTCATTACTTGATTAAGCTTGCTTGTCGATACGTGACCAAGGCGAGCATGCCACGGTCCACTTTCATCATCTTCTTTGGTCGTGCTCTCGGCTTTGTACGCCTCTAATACCACATCCTGCTTCACATTCCACGCAAACAATTTTCCCACTCGATTAATCACTGCTACCGTAATCCCATTGGATGTTAGGACTGCTTGATTACGCTTGAACTGCACAAGCACACCTCGGGCTGTCAGTGCTGGTACAGATACAAGCTTCTTGTCCAATTTAGGCACATGAAGAACTTTCTTCAGCATAACTGTGCGGCCATTTTCCAGTACAAATCGCACCGACCCCGTTCCTTTCGCCATCAGATGCTGTCCATTAGCAACTGTGATGCTAATTGGGGTAGTCAGATTTTCATACTCCACAAAATCACGCTCGTCATCAGTCATGTGACGGCTTGCACCACTATCCAGCAGCCAAGTTGCACTTGACTCCAATTTCTCGCTTGATGCTGAGAAAACAAATTCATCGCCAGATCTTGACTGTTTCACGCTGTGACACTGCGAACTCTTGTGACCATGTTTTCCACAAGTAAAACACTTGCCTTGAAATCTTGCGTTGTCGTTCCTTCGTCTGAAAGCTTGGTTTCGATCTTTATCGTTCTGACGGCCATGGTGTCCTCGGTTTCCTTGAAAGCGTCGATTCACATTGGGTTGTGCGTGTGCTTTAAAAGCAGTTTCCTTCTTATCACGTTTCTGTAGCGTGTCATACTCCCGCCGGAGCATCTCTTTTGCGTCCAACAGCGTCACGTTGCTGTGCGCCTCAATTATGCGCACCATATCATCATATTCAGATGATAAGCTTCCCAAGAGAAGTACTAGCTTCTCATCATCATCCATGCTGTCACCAGCAGCCCTGAGCTTCAAACAAAGCTCATCAAACTTCAGTAGGTGGTCCATTAGACTCGTACCAGTTTCCATCACAAATTCATGTAGTTGTTTCCGAAGTTGCACCCGATTGTGGAGGTTCTTCTTCGCGAAGAATGTCTGCAATACCTCCCAAGCCTCAAGGGCTGTCTCACATTCCCGAACCATACACTGATAGGTGGGTGAGAGTAACTTCACCAGCACAGCCAGAGCCTTCATATCGGCGACTTTCCACTCGGGTAATTCCCGTAGCACTGCCGACTCTGGCTTCACCATTACATGACTAAATAGATCCTTGCGTGCAAGGGTCACGCGCGCGTTAAATTCCCACATGAAGTAGTTATCATCCGTAAGGATATCATTGGGGGCCAACGCAATTGGGGTCATAACCTATAACAACCAGACAACTACTTCTCAGTGCTTAAAATGGAAAGTAGTATTAAGAGTTAAGACTACTGCTAAAATGCATATATAAATTCCCTCATAAAGTGATCGCTCATCCAGAATGTTCGAAGAGCCCTGTCCCTGCAAGTTGCCATAAACACGACACACAATTCATGTCGTGGTACGTAAACCTCAACAGGTGTTGCTCTTGAGCCAATATAGCGTCTGTGTAACCTGTGGAAACGTTGCAAGTATCTGTCGTAGCTCCATTCCAATGACCATGCTGCGCCACGTGAGACGACGCGATATTCATTTGCTGTCAGGCGCTTATCACGCTACTGTTCACCTTTTTGGTGTTCGTCAGGCTGTGGTCCTCTTAAGGAATCCACGGCGTGGACGCCATCAATGCTCCTCTGCCAAAAGCTGTACGATGCGTTTGAGAGCTAGGTGTAATCCGAAGCGGACAAGAGTGACACAAAAGCGGGTTACCGTTCGGTCACAGGCCGCTATGGAGTGCACTTGGGTTGTGTCGCACAATTCTTTTGCATCGTAGTAAGAGAGTGTCGTGCCGCTTCAATTTAACGTCCAGTCACGATGCTGTTGGAATAAGTCTGTCCGAGATCAGGATTCGCCCCGCCAGAGAAGTACCGTCACTTCGCCATGGGTATCATGGCATTCTGTGTTTGGGTGCTAACCGCAATTCGCCGTACTTAATGTAGGACCATGAGAGAGTGTCGACAAGTGTTGCCTTGTCACGGGCAATTCTTGCGCTGTTGATCTTGCACCCGAATCAGCATTAGTCAAATAGCCACGGCATTTTCGCCATTGACGCGTGCTCAAACCACCTTCGAATCGAAACGACCTTTACGAATGGTGTCCACGTCCAGCTCGTTGCAAGTTGTGCCATCCATTGCCGCTCGCGCGTCAACCGTCATGCTCCCGTCGACGTTCTGTTCAACCTTTGCCTATTCTACGAAACGCTCCGCCCGTATCTGTACCGTCGTCACGTTACATTTTCCGGCGTGTTCTGCAGTCTACACCACGACCGCATCAGTCCCGGTCGCCCAGAGTGAACCGAGGACTTGTGATTTGGCGTCAGAATTTAGCGCGGAGTGATGTAGCGAGCATTTGTGTCTCCGCCGCCCCACAGCATGTTGCCAATGAGGATATTTTGAGTGGTAGCGGACGAAAACCACTTGGCGACTGTCAAGACTATAAGTATCTTCACTTTGGTCCTGATGCACGGGATAAACAAGCCTCTCCGCAGAATAGGCACTACTGCTTGCTCTTCTTTTACCCACGGGCGAGACCGCTTTCCGTTGCGCTTGCCCCACACAAAGTCCTAATCAGGTCGTGGAGCTTGGTGATATTGGCTGTCGAGGGCCAGCAAAGCCGTGCGACGTAGAGATTCTTGGGAATGGCAATGGCTCGTACGAAGCGTACTCTCTGTTCGGCCGTGTGAGTCTTCTTAAAGGCTAGAGCGAGACTGACCAGATCGCCTATAAGGTATAGGTCCCAGTTCTATGCCGTCGTATTACCTTGTCCAACTTGCACCTCAAGGTATCTGCACTGCTCATTCGGCCCAAGCAAAGTGAGCTTGTACGACTCGACTGTTTGTTCCGGGTCGTATGGGCCTTGCACAGCCACGATGGACTTGGCGTGGTTGATAGCAAGGTCGGACAGAAGTACGTCCAGGATCTATAGCACCCGCGAAATGACTTTACTTTCGAGCAGGTACACTGCTGTGTCGTCCGTATAGTTAGCCACGGTGATCGTCTCCAATTTCCACCAGCACGGAGCATGATTCCGTCAATCTCATCGCGGTTTATAATCACCTTGGGCAGGATAGCGAGCGCGAGGATATTAAAAAGTGGATCCATCGGACATCATGATCATATCCCGTACAAAACATCACGCCGCCGTGACAGGAATCCGTTCACTATAAACGACACGACGTGTTCTTGTGGGGTATGGCAATCATACTCACAAAATTCCGCGATGATCCGAACTACTTGAGAAAATCTAGTAAGAACGGTACTTGGAGCGAGTCGTAAGCCTGCGAGAGGTCTAGCAGAAGCGCGGGCGACTCACGCATCGGCTCGTCAATCGTTGCTGCGATCTTGGGTGTGGCGTAGATGTAGAGTGCCGTGTCGATCGCACGACTAGGTACGAAGCCGGCTTGCGCGCTTTTAATTGTCCCAGGCAGTAATACACGGAGCCTCGAAGCAAGGATTTTCGCTTTTAGCTTTTAATTTCTGGTCGAAAAAACGATTGGACTGTAGTCCAGCGGCAGGGCCGCATGTAATGAATTCTTGAGGCACTGGATGTTGGCTTCAACATATGACGCCGGCATCACGCCGCACTCGAGCAACCGGTCGAACAGCAACACAAGTATCGGTGCGAGCGGCTATGCATTGTCGCGATCGAAGGTGTCGCTAATTTCTTCAGGCCCGGCGGCCTTGCCGCGCTTCAGCTTCATCTTCTTCAGTGCAGCGGTAAGGACGTCCGGAGTAATTAGAACGATAACTACCGTGTCGTTCAGACCTTGCCGAAGCGGTTCTCCTCTTAATAAGGCAGCAGTATCAACGGGGGATCCGTAATGCTGATTCATGATGCTCTCCCAGCCGTCCGCTATATCATTTAAGAGCTCTCGCGAGCGCTTCGGCCGTACGAAGCCATTCAGTCTAGCGAAATCATCGTATTGTCACGAAATTTTGTGGACATCCAAGCGAAAAAAATGGCACGACGATTGTCCTGTACATTACGTGTGCTGTCCAAGCAGGCTCTCGCATTTAGCTCGCTTCCAACTGAGTCGGCACTCGACCAGTCGAACCCTGATAGCTTGCGGTGTCGTAAAGTCGTCACCTTTGTCGTGGGTTTCGTCCGTTTCATTCGCCGCGGTACGGACTTCTCGTGTGGATCGTGTTTCACTGTGCTGCATTGGACATTGTGTTTCCAGGTGCGCTGGATTGAGGCGCCGGTGAAGTCTGTGCAGCCGTTATCGGCAGCTCCGAGTCATGCACCGCTTTACGCGATGAGACACGATCAGGATCTCCTTGCGCAGCCCAGCCTTCCAGCTGTCATACCAGCTTGCAAGATGCTGCGCCGTCACCGTGTCCACGTATTCGATAGCCTTAGCGCCGTCAACTTCGCATCTTGCTGCGTTGAGTGCTCGCTCGATGACCAGCGCGACTGTCTTCCCTGCGACCGCGCTTACCAAAACTAGACTTGGCGAGGCTCCCGCACCGGGAAAGTCTATTGAAGTGCGCTGACTCGATTCATCATTGTGGCAAAGCGGTCACAAGAAAATTTACTGTCTAGCTGGAGTGGGGATTGGGCGGATCACATACCTCAGCTCGGTCCAAAGCGTTAGAATTGGTAGACACAAACTGGGATGGGTGGATAGCAATAGCGCACCTAACCCTAGTAAGCAGGATTGATATCACTCGTGGTAAGGCTAGATGACAGTGGGGCCAGTTGGATTGCGTGATTTTTTGTGCGACAGTACAAGAAAAGATTCGTGATCCCTTGCCGAGGGATCGCGATTCGGACCTAGGATCATGGTCCTGACTTAAGATCACGATCCGGACCTAAGATCGCGTCCGGATCCAAAATCAGGATCGGACCTAGGATCGCGATCCGCACCTAGGATCACGATCCGGACCCAAGATCACGATCCGGAACCAAGATCACGATCCACGGTAAAGTGGTGGCAATATCTTGGGTGGACCACAAAAAGATTCGAATGTCGATAAACCTGATGTGGGCCACACTAATACTAGAGGACGATCTTCCTGAAACAGGGACGCATGGCATCCGGTCAGGGTATACGGAATAGGCAGAGGAGTAGGTTATAGGGTGACCGGTTAGCATCAAAAAGAATTCTTTTTTATACGACGCACGCAACCTCTTCCGGGCAGGATCTTTGGCCTCCCGACAAAAATGAGTCGCGTTACCCGTACAGATAAGTGTCGCAACTGGATTGTTTGGCCAGGTGCGTTTGATAATTCTCAGATAACTACAACTGCCGTTGGACGCAGCAAGACACGTAAAGGCAAGGCACAAGATCGCGATACAATTCAAGTGCTTAAAAGGCTCGCGTACCAAGGACTTACACAGTGGGCAAGGCGATCTCGTTAATATCATGGTAACTTATATCAGTACCCCATTCATACCCCAGCAATCGCGCGAAGATTTCCGCTCGATCAGACAAAACCATCCCCAACCCGGTCAAGCTTTCCCTCGACACGAGTCCACCTGGAAGAGTGCAACCCGCCCTACTGACGGGTACACAAGGTGAGGAAAGCAACATACACGGAATGGAAGTACCTCCTCCGTTAGTCGGTCGTACTGGGCGCCAGTGGAGAGTCGGGATCGTCCCAAGAAATGAACGATCACCACTTAACCCCACATAACTTGGCACGAGCTCTATGTGAAGCCCAATCGATGACTGACCCCTAATGAAGGGTACGTTTAACTCAAAAGACGTACGAGGGAATAACTAATTTGTAATCCATCAATAAGCGCGCTGGGCATTCGTCCCCCAATGGACCTCCTTCGGCACCGGATACGCTTTGCCATACTGCTCGACAAGGCCCAAAACCGCAACCCGCAGCTGAGAGCGAGGCTCCCAAGTATCTGCCGAGTGTGTAAATCTGCGATATCAGATGATGTAGCTAGTCCGATGTCCCATCACATCGCTTTGCACCACAAACGTTCCACGAGGAAGCGTTGTCCACCACACGTACCAATCAATGAAGGAGGGGAAGAAGGAACCACGTTCTCAGATGGATTTGCAGGTCCAGTCTGATACCGTGAGTCAGCTCAAGCGCGTGACGTGTGAATTGCGCGAGGAACTCGAGCACGAGAGAGGCAGGCGTCTGGATTTACTCGGCAATGTGAGCCGTCTCTTCTCAAAACGGGGGATGGATCGATCAAATTTTGCTTTGATCAACTTGAAGATGAGCGGGCACACAATTCTCTTTGCGACGAGCTAGTGTAAACATGTCATGATGTCGCTTGGCTTCGCGGAGATACATCCGATTTCAGACGCGGGTTGTTAGTCAGCACCACGAGCACAAGTTTTTCTTGGAGATGCTTGACCGAAAGGGATTTCTTTACCAGAAGAAGTCACGTACTGGTGATACCGACTAAGGCGACCGACATTAAACGTAGGATGCGTTCGCATCTAACGTGGTAGTTCAATTGTGTATACGTTGCCTAAGCGGCGCAGCACACGAAACCGACCGATGAACTTGGTTAAAAAATTGTTCCTACCCACTTCGATCAATGTGTCGAGGTAGGTCAATTGTATATAGAAGAATTAGGTCACCTTTTTTAAATGAAAGAACATTCGCTCTTCCATACTTGACAGTGTTTTTTGGTCGGTCCACCGCCTCTGCAACGGAATCTAGCACAAACGGACAACCGTCTCTCGAGCCAGTTTAAATTTATCTGCTGACTCATTTTCTTCAGATACAGTGCTCTTGGACCACAATGTGGCAAGATTAGTAGCCTAGGTAGTGAGAGAACACTCGCTCATACATTTCTTTTCTTTGACGAAGTCGACAAGATCGATATCAGCTTCATACGTAGTGATCTCGTGGTTGATACATGATAAGTAAGAGTTGATTTGGCGTTCTCTCGAATGAGTCCCTTCCCCACAAAGCAAGAGTAACACTCTTTAAAGGTGGTAAGGCGTGTACGACGCAAGCCATTCACGTAGGACGGCGCATGCGTCTTCAATGCATGCACCCAGTTATTGATGACGAATTCCACCATCGCAAGAATTCGGTCTAATTCGTAAACGAATCGGCAAAACCCAAGAGTTCCATCAAGAACGCGGTTGGAACGTTCCGTCTGATTATGTGTTTTATGGTGTTAATGAGTCGACAGCTAAAGGCGGGTTCTGAATGTACTGGTAAAGAATCATTACAATTTATCAGTTGAAACGTGGGCTCACTTAAAAAAGATTTACGAGAAAACTATGAAGACGACTTATCGTGTCGTTAAAAACACGAGCACACACCGATGCATGATGGATTCAGGTAAAACAACCATGTTAAACCATATATATTGAATCTCCCAACGGACACAAGAATACCTGTGTTCTTATGCGGGTCTGCAAAAAACAAACGAAAAAGTCCATTGAGACAGATATCCAGCATTCTGTTAATGGGGGCGAGCTTTGCAACGACGCACAATATTAGGAACCAGACTTTACTCGTTGGCATACTACGCATACGCGAACGTAATTACGCACAAACTGATACTGGAGGGGACAGTACAGGTCGCGACTAACTGTGAGACATTTTCTCTCGACCACGATGTACACCTGTAGGGGAGTAATTGTAAATATAAATGATGTGCAGGTGCAACTCACCATGGTCTGGTAAGACGACACGGCGTGTCGCCTTCAACGGCGGACCACTTAACTGAACCATTGTGGACTGCCTATCTACCCGTCGAGGACTAGATATGCTGGTGGCAACCCTTTAAGAAATCGACAAGATGTTTGCAAGCGATGATCTATCAAATACACCATCTCCGGATCGTGCGCCTTGTGTATGTCTTCGAATGAAATTGACCACAGGAAAATCGACGTTAGACCGCAACAGTGGTCGGACCAGTGTTGAATTTCGCAGCCTGTTCGAGTTTGGGCTGGCGCGACACAGCTTCAGCGACAACATTCATCCGTTCTCGCTTGTATTCCACGGAGAAGTTCTACTTCGCGAATTACTACAGCCACGTCTGCATTCGTTGCGAGAGGTGTGGACTATCAACAGCTGTGCATAAGGATGCATGGTTAGTGCAAACGATGCAGGGTCTAACACCTAGCAGGTAAATCCTGAATTTTGCCAAAGCTTTTTTTTGACAAGGAGCAGTTTGTCACGCACCGGTAATTGCGTTCATCCGGCTGCAGCCGACGTAATTTTATCAGACGACACGCTCAGCACCGTATGTGGCATACTGCGTTAGTGCACAATAGACGGCAAAATTACTTGCATTGCATACCAACCTAAATTAGTCTGTATTGTTCTGCATTTGCCAAAACTGGAGATCGTATCAAGCTTTGCATGATAACTTCGAAGTAGCGCTTCAATCAGCAATCCATGATCACTTGTCGTTCTTACTCGATAAAAGAGAGAGATGAACAGAAAATTCGGCGTAATTACGTAAACAATTGCGCAAATACGTCGCTAGGCCGAGGAAATTTTGATGTCCCTTGATACCTGTAGGCAGTACCCAGTCGGTCATCGCATTAATCATTTACGGATCGGGATAGACGTCGCACTTGCCCACGATGCATCCAAAAGGTGATATCTTGCTAGCAGCAATAATCCACTTATTGAGGTTGGCATACAACTTGAGCTCACGCATTAGCTTAAGAACCCTTCGAACGTGAAGTTGGTAAACTTCCACATCCGTCTGTCCATCCATAATTTGGCTATAGACAAACACATCATCAATATAAGTAGGCGCGAATTTTCGCGCAAATCTCAACAGATATGTAACGCATTCGTTCAACGTACCAGGACATTAATTTATCCCTGTGGCAGAAGTAGCTACTACCAAAGAATACCACTTGGGGTGCTCTGATCAGTGTACGGGGTGTTTCTTTTACGCGTGTAGATCTGATAGCACTCATCAATCAGATTCATGGATGAAACAATGTTACTCTGTTTCATACCATCTATAATGACATCTTTCCTTGGTACCGGCGGATGAGCCGGTACAGATGCAGCATTCAACTGGTTAAAGGCATGTACTCTCCTCCATATCCCCGTGGCAATTCGGACACAGAAGGTCGGAGAGCTATGTGGGGAAGTAGGGACCCTGGCATGGACCGCCACCAAGCGATCGGCAAAGAATTTGTCCATCGCTAGTACCTGTTCACGAGGTTGTGGCCACTGCTTCATGACACAGTGCTTTGAACCTGGTGTCAGGTTAACTTCATGACGATACTCTTATTCTTGGCTAACTCGCACGGCACTGTTTCCGGATACACGTTTTTGAATCCCGTCAATCATCCTTAGGAGGATTTGTCCTGAGCTTATTCGAAGGATTGTAATGTGTATCGCTCAATTAAAGTATTTTAATCAAGAACACTCACTACCAGTGGTGAGCTGCTGGTTACCGCTTCGTTAGCAGCGAATACCATTGCCGATCGAGTATCGGTATGTACCCATATTCCGCGACGAGGACGCAAATCTGATTGACTTCGCCACTAGGCAGATCACGCCAGAACCTTTTTTGTCCAATCGTGGGAAATTGAGTAGTCTTTAAAGTAGTCTTCGGAGGTGCGATCAGCTCAAGTTAGTAATACGAACCGATTGCCAATAATCGGTTCGTTTTCACTTGGGTGTTGATCATTGAAGGATTTTGATATTCCAGTCCGCTGGAATTATTCGGGAGGTGATACTTTGGCGTGACCTGCACATCAGTGCAGTCGCCGGAATCTGGCTCCATGGTGTTGCGTTCAGCCACGCCACAGACACGTGCATTGTACTAACGACCAAACATTACCACACGGAGGCCATCGAACTCGCTTGTGGTACACCCAAACGTTAGTGGGCGGTCCATGGCGTTTATCAAATGATTATCTGATCAACAAGCGACAAGCAAATTGACTGCTCTTCGATGTCAGCTGACTTGTGTCTCGTTTCTATGAGCCACGGAAGTCCAAGGTCATCATTAAAGTTGGCAACCAAGTACACTATGATGAAGCCATCATCTCATCAGACTTCTTTCAGTGTAGGTGTAATACCCACTACATTTTTCACCTCTGTTATGGGTGTACCTGTCGTGAGCCGCACAATCCTTATCGTTGGAAAGATCTCGCGCTCAATCTATTTCGAGCTCTCTGTTATTTAGCGATTTACTTTATACAAAGTTGTTTGACGCCCCACTTCTCTAGAGCTCGAAGTGACATGTTTCGTGTCACTTTAAGTTTTACGGTTATACGAAAAAACCTCATAACCTGAAGCAGCAAAACACAATGATTGCGTGTTAGGAGCAATTATAGTCAAAAGACCTGCAAATTCACTTGACATTGCTGGATCAGTAGGTTGCTCCCCACCTACTGACCCTGATCGTTTTATTGGCTGTCCGTTACATTGTTGCGTCTTCGCAACAACGTCGGATACATGCCTTGGACCCCCCGTGGCCGCTTGGCAATTATTGTCTCCTGCGGTACGCACAACCGCGTTCGGGGCACTGCATTGATATGCATAATGTTCTGCTTTCTAACATTTTTTTCCTTGTTTGAAATGTAGTTGTTAACACGAGAGCTCTCGCTCCCCACGTAACCAGTGTCCATCGGTTCTAGGCTTCCGTTTATCTGTCGTCTCGACGGACGATAGAAAATTGAATTAGCGTGAGCCTGTTTTACTCTTAATTCCTCCATTTATACAATTATAATGTCCTCTACCAGGGTTTTGGATTCCGACAGGGACATGTAGATTTTAAAGAGACCGTAAGCCAGACCCTGCATATTCAACGCAATCAACGTTTGTTGGTTCAGTGCTTAACTGTTACTCAATTGGTAAGGCGACGTAGGAACTGAATGTATGAGTGTACGTCGTGTTTACCATGTTTAATTTTCAAGAGTTCAGCGCGATCCCTGAACTCAGCTCGCGGCGGTTATATTGTTTGCTTATGAAGGGACTTAAAGACTTTTGACGACCCAAAGACATATGGGTCGTGTAACTTGAGGCAATAGGCTCACGTCGTTGCCTGCCCTGCCAATTTGATTGAGCAAAATGCAATCTGCATTTATCATCGGCAATGTGGCGAGCCTTTATGGCAACTTCTAGCTCCACGGATCGTCTCGACATAGAGTCTTCAACGGCTCTCTCGTACTTTGAGATGTCTACTTTTAGAGCCTCGGGTCGACGTGTGACGTCGACCTGGTAGCAGTCGCATGCTGCTGTCTCAACTGTTCGATCTGCTGAGCACTAATGTTCCCTCGACAGCTCTGTCGGTTGAGAACTTTGTT